GCTGGATCCAAGTGTATTGTTGGATTTTAATTGTTTGTACTGGATAGTTCTATGCCTCATGGAGAGTTTAGCATACATACGGGTGATGTTACATGTGGATTATTTTGTTGTCAAATGTTTAGTGTTCATAAAAATAGCAAAATCAAAATGGTGTTAATTCTCTCCCCATCTTTGCTCTGGTCACTGGGAAACCCCCAAACCCACTTCTGTCCAAAGTACAGATGATTATAAACTCGCAGAAGGCACTGCTGTGTGATAATCTCATCTAAAACTTTAATAGGCCCTGACTTTACTCTCTGCTTTTCCACAGCTCTGTTTGCATCATGCCCATTTTCTGTAACTCACTTTAATTATGTATTTATTTATTATTTATTTTTGCAGAACGAGGCAGGAGACAAATGGATGGTCTGAAAGATGACTTACTCTCTAGTGGACTGTGGCAGACCTTGAGTTTGAAAAGCAACCACATTAATGTGTCTTACTTTTCTAGGGAATTTCCAAATACTTTCATGATTATCCACCACCAAGCAAACTCTACAAAATTCATTTCTAACCCGCAAAATGACTCAGTACCATTATGAAAAATAAGTAGATCTTTCCCCCAGTAAACTCACATTTGCCATCTTACTGCTACCGCTGCACGCCATAGTCCCACCCTTCTCCGCGCTTCTCCCTCGACAGTCTTAAAATTCAATGGTATCGGCTATTCTTTTACTGAGTAAGTTGCCCCCAGCAATCCTTCGTATTGGCGTCTGGAGCCGTGGATGACTTTTGGGGGAACCTAGAGAAAAGTCTTCTGCTACCTTCAAAATGAAATGTTGTCTTGGCAGAGTACACTGACCTAATCCAGGAATCCATTCGGGTGTGTCTTCAGTTTTGGATCAGGTGTCTTCCTTGCTCCTTTTCAAGGCTTCCAGGAATTGGCTATTGTTTTTTCAGTTTACGAGCTTAAAATGTACAAGCAGAGTGTTTCCTTTGAGGATTAGACACTCCGGTAGTTCTAAATGTGGTCTTGTGATTTACAGAAAAAAGTCATTTTTCAATTCAGGTAAAGTTTTACAGTGTGTCATTAAATTATCCATTTCAATGCAGCTTGTCTACTTCTTCTGCCACCCTTAAATTCACCATCGTGGACTAAATTTTGGTTTTGGCTCCCAAATATCTACTCTCCTCCACCCTTCCTACAGGGCCTCAATTTGCTGTTCAGAAATTATCTGCCCTTTCTCATACTCAGTCTTCCCGGGAGACTAAATTCAGACCCTGTGGAAGACAGGGGCTGCGCATAACTGAAAGTCTGCCAATTAGCCTCCTTCTCCAGGGACTTTGTGTCTTGAGTAAAGTAAGACAAAGACAGAAGAAACGGTCCACGCTGCTAATTCTAGGGTGGTACTCCCATGGTGATAGTCGCGCTACAGAGATCCTCTGTGGCAACTTGACATTTTCTGTTTCAAGTTGTTGTGCAGCCTTCTGATTCTGTGGGATCTCTGCGTTCTATTAAATTCATTTTCGGTTGCAAAACACATGGTATTACAAAGAACATACAGATTCATTTACGTTCTTTCTGCATGGATCATCTTCTTTTGCAGGGTCTTATTTGGCTCATTCCTGTTTTGCATTTGTTTATTTTTAATACCATATTTGCTCTGATTTCTACTATTCTACAGTGGCATTTTCCAAAAATTGTTCTGGGAAAAAATGATTCTAACTTACTGTTAGATGTTACATTTAAAAAGAAAAAAACAAACAAAAAAACCCCCAAAATTAGAGGGGGGGTCTAGTTAAGTGTGGAAAACACAAGCATAAGTTAAATTAAAATAGCTTAGTTTTCTGTGCACTATGAATTTCCAAGAAATAAAGGGTGTAGACTTTTCCAAATTTATTTTAGTATGTATATAGATATAGATTTCTCCTGCTATATCAAAAGAAACTAGTGGTCTTGAGAATATATCTTGTGTAATGATGTTGTAGATGCTGCTATATTTACTGTCTTCATTGAGGACTTTAATTCTCTTTGAACTTATAATAGAACAATGCTATCTCTTTAATTTATTTTTAATACTGATCCTACTTGTATTCATCTTATCTTCATTCTATCTGTTTTAAATTCTTGTGGTTGTTTGAGTTTCTTACATAGAATTTTAAGATGTTGAGGCTTTGACTTCTTTATGATACTACAAAATATTTTAATTGAGCTAAGATGTTTCAAGTTTTTTGAATATGTATCTGTATTCCAAGTTGACTACAGATATTTCGTGTTTCTTTTGTTCTTTTGGCAGGCTGAAGTCCCACTGGCATTCCTGATAATTGTTCAGTGTTTCTAAGTGTAGCTTTCCAGAAGCAGGAGTCACAAATCAGTGGTACTTCCTATCCTGCTTTTGTAACATAAACTTAAGAGTTCTGAGCTTGTATCAATGTGGGCCTATATACTTCTAATGATGATTTGTTCTTAAAATACTCCTGAACTTCAGTGATAAAATCAGAATGCTAAATTATGGTAGTTTAGTAATCCCTCATGAAATAATTTAGCAAGAAGAACTGTCCTAGATACTTTAGTAAATTATCTGATCTATATAAAAGTATGTGGCACAGAACTTTATCAACTATCTAACACCAACTTATTCATAATTTGGCCATGTTGGTGTTCTTTCTATTAAATGAACGCTTACTTTTTTCATTTTAATATGAATACAAATAGCTCAAGAACAGAACTGAGGTAAAATAATTTTTCTAGATCACATTCTTGATGGTCAATTCCCCTAAATACATTCACCAAATGAAAAGCAATTATAAGTGACAAAGTAATCGGAGAAATAGTCAAGAGATAATGTCAAAACCATCTACTACTAATCACCTCTCACCTGGCAATACTACTTCAGAGAATAAATATGTATTGAATGATTATAGCCATATTACTCAAAATATAGGCATACAGGAAACAACCTAACTGTTCAACATTTAGGGAATTATCAAGAAAAAAGTATGCTAAGAAGATGAATGCTTATAACTAAATTAAAATGTATTCTGAAGAGAAAAGCAAATAAAAAAGAAATATATCTTAAATAAATTTTTATCATAGTTAAAATATAGAAATCTAGATATAATAAAAACAAGGTTTGCACAGTGATAAAGAACAAAGCAAATGTACTAAAATAATAGTTATTTTTAATGGAGATGTTCTTTGTCATCATTTGTTTACTCAAGTTAGTTAAAAAGAGAATAAAAAAATACCCTGACAAAGTCTTAGGCAAACTTTATATCTATAGGCAAACTATATCTGTGGGTGTTATATAAGCATATAAATGTACATCACTAGCTATACACATAGATAGAAACACATAAATGTAAGTAAGCTTAAAACATTGCTATGTGTGAAAAAGTATCCTAATTAAATATGATGCACATCTTAGAAGAAATAACCAATTTGTTTCTTTTTGTAAGCTGTATTTTCCTAACTGAGCCCAGACACAAAAGGATGCAGTCCTTATTTCCTTCAAATGTATGACTTCTACAGAAAGTAAGGAGAAAGTTAAAACCAAGGTCATCCTAGTATGCCATGTCAAAAGCAAGGAGAACACCCAGACACTGGCTTCTCAAGGACAAGAATTCCAAAAGTAAAAAGCTGTTAATCAAAATAACATTAGGTAGTTTTAAGAATGAGGTTTTTTGGCTTAATGCTTAGTACACCCTAAACCAAACTGAACAAATGAAGTTATCTGGACAGGGAAAATCAAAAAAAGGGAGGAAGAGGCAAAATGGACCAGAGGATCTCATTACCCTGGATGAGAAGGTGATAGAGAATTCATAATGTTGAACAAAGTTTAACACATAAAACAGGACAGACACAGGGGAGCTCAGGAGTCAGTTATATACTGTGAAAAGCTGCATGGCAAAATAACACCTAGAGAGAGAGCAAGGGAAATGGAAGCCTGTGAGAGCTGTTTGTTTTGGTCAGGAAAGTACTTGAGAGGCGGGAGCAAAGTCAAGCAGCTTTTCTCATTAAACATTTAGTGCCCTGCTTAAATCTGTTTGAAGGAGCATGGAACACATGAAATACTACACAGGGTGAGACCCACTGTCTCCCCAGCCAGAAAGCTGAGGCTGACGCCAATCAGATGGATGTGCAACTGGAATACGTGACTGTTTTCCACAATGCCAGCTTTTAACAATGTCAACATTAAAGGCGAGGCCCATTCTGACAACCCTTATTGCACACTTAGGTTCTTCATAAAGTTGTCTATGACCTTTCTAGAACATAGCAACGATGCCCTTTATGAGGATAACACAAAAACCCTTTCTTTTTTCCCCTTGTTTTTTAGATTAGGAAAAATAGTTTATTTGAAAAGTAAATTAGAGAGGGACTCCACCTCCCCCAAACTGGGGAAGGGGCCAGAGCTTAAAGAAAAGCCTGGCCAAAATCCTTTCCTAATCTATCAAAAAAAAAGGCCAGCTAACTTAAACATTCTTGCTTTGCTCCAAGCAGCGGATAATTAATTAAGCCCTGACCCAGGAAGCACACCAAAGCATTTTCCACAGGGAGCCTGGCATGTAGGGCTGTCCACTAGGTAGGGGTGCCCATGGCCGAATTTCATAAATACTATAATCTTATTTGCCATGCTTTCTTCACTTTTATTAAGCTAACATTAAACTCACGTTAAAATAACTTTTAAAGACAAAAACTCATCCATAAGCCTGCCACTACACTAGCCCTCTTTAATCTGTCCATGGGCACACACAATGTGCGGCTGTGATCACACCACACACAACGTGATGGAGCCAGGCTTTTGTAAAGGCATTCCCTGGCAGGATGTTCTGCCAAACTTTCCCAGCTTGCTCATTTAATGAGTGCATATCACAAGATGCTCAGTGCAAGCTATCGCTCTGCTAGAATATGAAAATGTAATGGATTCCTCCTAAATGCATACCACAAATGGCACACTTTACCAAAAAATTTAAATTAAGACACTTTATAATTCGCATTTATATAACTTCTTTTAACTTACCTCTTCTCCAGACAGATAGTAGGCTGAGAGCAGTCCACCAACAAAGCGTATATTTACTTCAAAAACAGAAATTTCGGCATTCTATGGAAACAAAATAAAGGAGGTTTTCAGACACGATAGTACACAATTCAGAAAGCCAGCATCATGAGAAACTATTCTAAATATTTAAATTTGGTTCAAATGTTATGCTTGCCCAGAGGGATTTATATGCAAGGGGGAAAGTTCTCCCTTTTAATGGCTTCAGAATTTACTTAAATATCACTATATGTTACATGCATCAAAACATCACTATGTGTGCCATGAATATGTATAATTATTATATGTCAATAATAAAGTAGAGGAAAAATACACTTAAATTGATACAATAATTTTGACTCGAAATAAAAATTATAAAAATGCTTACAAAATAAATTTTTTTCCTCTCTATTCGACAGCAGATCCAAGACCCACTATTCTCTACCTCTGGAAATGCAAAAGTCAAGCCAGAGCTTTTTTTTTTTCTTTCTAATCCACATTCTCCTTTATTTTATTTATTTGCCTGCTTTTTCTTTTCCTGAAAGGCCATTCAGACTATACTTTGGCTGGCAGTTCAACAGTAGCCTGGCAGTCTTTCCACATCATATTTAAGCAGCAAAGCTAGGATGCAAACAGGATTTGAAGCTGGGAGTGCTAGGCCCTAATGCTGGTTCCCAACTTTCTTTCCTTTCTTTTTCCGAAAGCAGGATTTAGCGAGAGGACAGAAAAGCTCCTCCAGTGGGAGGGGACCCGAAGGGGTTGCCCGGTTCCCGACTCTTGCATGTGATCTGGGATGGCCGTTCATCTCTAGAAGATATGTCATCTTTGCATAAACTTTGCATAAAGGATACAATAACACTATACCTTGTTGAAGCAGTTCTTATTGATATTAATAATAGCTTGCTTTTATGATTATTTACAACGTACCAGCTGCTGTGCTAATCTCTTTACACAGACTATGTCTTAATTCTCACACTGACCTCATGAATTAATTTTTATTCGCATGTCTATTTGACAGATGAAGAAACTGAAACAGTGTTTAATGAGATTTTTGAAGGCCAAACAACTGATAAGTGCTTGAATCAAGATGTGACATGAGTACTCTGATTCCTGGCTCAGGGCTCTGCTACAGAAACTCACACCCAATACACCAAGTCTCTCTATTAATTCTCATAGAGTTGTGGCACATAATCATTGCCAACACTTTTATTTTACAATATTTGACTACCTGGATCTGCCTTACATTCCGCAACTAGATGATTTAGCACGGATACACTCTTGTGGGTTATAAGGAACATGCTAAGCATTCAGCTTCTTTTCTTGTTCACTGGGCCTACTCAGGAACTACTCGCTTTTGCCTAACATCAAACCACTCACTGATAATCTGCGGGCTAACAGCAAACTGTAACTTATGGAGGCAATACCTGGCAGATGAACTTAGTCATTATCATCTGAAATATTATTTCTTTAACAAACAAACAACTACTATGTGTGAGACCCAGTCTAGGTAATAGGGACACAGCAATAAGCCTGATAAGGTCCTCAGACTTGCTGAGCCATCATTTTTGTAGGGGAAGGTATGTCCAGAAAAGGAAGAGGTATGTATTCATTTTATTCTCACATGCTCTCTCTACAAAGGTATAAGGATTGAACAATTAAAGCTAAGTAATTGCTTCAGTTAAAAAAATTTCCTACAAAAGAAGGACTATGGAAACAAGCCAGGAGAGAGAATTACTAGGTCACAGCTAGGCCAAAGCATCAAAATAATGCTCTTTGGTGTGCTTGTTTAATTGCACTCCATAATGTGTAATATGTGCCTCATACAATTTGATTAAAAGCACTCTGCATGGGTATAGTCCATCCTGGAGGTGCATCACTATGAATGGGTACTACATAAATGTTGGTGAAGGCTTCTGAAAAATGACTGATAAGGAAAAGCGAAGAGAATCCACAAATTTAGTTTGGCTCACATAACTGTATTTCGTATGTTTAACAGTAATAAAGTCTAGTGATAAGATCAAATACACTTAAACTCTCAAATCTTATTCCTTTCCATTTGTACTTGCTTTTCAGGTTTTAAACCTGAGAGCAATCCCCTACATTTCTGCCTATTGAAGCCTGTCAAGATGATTTTACAGTCTTATTCTGGCTATGGGTTCAGGACACATGCGTTCTCTCTTTCTCTGATGAAACTTTTGGATAATAAGAAGGCTATACAGACATCTGATAAAGATTATTGCAGGTTAGAGGACTGACACCTCCATGTCAAATACCTCCAAAAATAAATCTTCAGTTGGACACTGATCACCTGTTGGGTGTTGTTATTCAACTAGTTATTGATTCGGCTTGTATTCCAGAACCTAAGATCTATTCATCTTGTTCTGTCTGTAAAATATTGAAAGATGACTTTGCAAGGTGCTATAATCAAGGCAGCTGCTATGACGTTGGATCTAATAGTCAAGTGAGCCTGTCTAAGAAGCAAATCTGGCCTGTTAGTGAATCCATGCAGGTTCCCAGTGCCTGCTGCATCCTTGTCTTTAAAAGTCTTGCTCAGGGCCAGGCTCAATGGCTCAGCCTGTCATCCCAGCACTCTGGGAGGCCAAGGTGAGTGGATGGCCTGAGCCCGCGGGTTCGAGACCGGCCCGGGCAAGTTGGTGAGACCTCGTCTCTATAATAAATAAACAAAAAACAATTAGCTGGGCGTGGGAGCACGTGTGTAGTTCTGGCTACTTGGAAGGCTGAGGCGGAAGGATCGCCGGAGCCCAGCAGGTTGATGCTGGGGTGACTGTGAGCATGCCACTGCACTCCAGCCTGGGCGACAGAGTGAGACTCCGACTCAAAAAATAAAAAATAAATCTTGCTCAGGTATGTCACACCACCACCCTCAGTAGCTGTCAACAGTCATCATCTCTGTTTGAAAATTAGAACTGCATTTGAATTTCCAACATTCAATTCCTCCTCCCTTTTTTATAGTCAAATTCAATAACAAAAGGCTGAAACCTAGACCCTTTGGTCCGTGCTTTACAAACCCTTAGACAAAAAGGACTAAAAGGCCAAGAAGATTAAAATCCCCCCACCATGCCAAACTGGTGAGCTGTGTTGGGGCAGCAGACTAGAAACACGCTGGCCCACTGGACCGCAGGCTGGCTCAGCAGCTACCTGGAGGTGCCACCCCAGGTAAGCCCCCGCGCTCTCTCTGCACCTGGGTTTTCTCACTTGTGAAAAGGAGCCGCGCGTTCTTCACCAGGCACTCTGGTGAAGAACGCACACCTGGCCCAAGTAAGGCACTCGTCAACAGGTGCTGCCGCTACCGATGTGGGGTAGCTAGACCTCAGGAAGTCAAGGCCTACCTTCTCAGGGTTATTCGAAAGCCAGAACACAGATAAACTTCTGTCCCTCATGGGGATCATTTTTCTCACGGCTAAAAATCCCCTTTTAAAATACAAGTGTCCTGACCAACTTCTTTTTGGGCTTGAGATACATCACTTTTGTTGCATTTTATTGAGTCGGAGTCTCACTCTGTCACCCAGGCTGGAGTGCGATGCTCTGCTCAGGGCTGCTGCAGCCTTGACCTGCCCGGCTCAGGCGACCTTCCTGCCTCAGTCTCCCAATTAGCTGGAACTAACCACAGGTGTGCGCGCCACCAAGCCAGGCAAAAATTCCAGTTTGCTGGAGAGATGCGGTCTTGCCAAGCTGTCCAGGCTGGTTTCAAACAATCCTGGTGCCTTCATCTTCCAGAGTGCTGGGATTCCAGGCATGAGCCACCATGACTGGCCTGGACTTGATACACTCTATCAGCATAATAACTGGATTTCCAAAAGTGGATTTCTACAATCCAAGGGCTTCAGGTATTTTTCTAAACTTCCAATTCTAACTTCCATTCAAATAACCAATGTTAAATTTAAATGACGACATTCCTCCTATTAATACTCATACAGTTATCTTTTAGGATGGTCTAAAAGTTTTCCACTGACTTTCCTTAATGGATCAGGGGAAGGCTTGGAACGGGAAGAGGAGAGTATGTAGACGGTTTTGAGAGATTTTGCCTAAGAATTAATGGGAAGTCTGCAGACCACTTCATCTTAGTTTTAAACTAGAGTCAACCTCCTTTTTAAGTCCTGAAGTAAGCGGCATTCCACGAACGTTCCCCATGTATTCAGTGACTTCCACCACACAGAGTTACTGAGTGCCAGTTTAAGAAGCAGAGCCAGTCTTCCGTTTAAATTGCAGGCACCTGTTAGTTAATGTCCCAAATGATGGGCAAGGAGAAGCTGAAAACCTCTGGCTAAAAACTTACCTGTAAAAATATCTGGGTTGGAGAAACTATTCCTTCATTTTGATTTTCTTTTAGCAATGGCCACTGAGTCAAAAATTTATCTATGTATTTTAACAATCCTTATTACCGTATCTCATAATTTTACATATATGTATAGTGAATGAAAGTAATTATTCACCTTTATCAACAAGGGTGCCCGAATGATGCATATTTATATACCTAACCCTTAACTGTACCCCACAATTTTAAAATAAAAAATATTTTTTTTAAAAAAAGAAAGTAACTATTCAAGAAATTCTCGCATCTAAGCCTCCCATATAGCTGGGATTGAAGGTATGCACCACCCTGCTTGGCTACTATTTAAAAAAAAAATTTTTTGTAGAGGTGAGGTCTCGCTGCATTGCCCAGGCTAGTCTCTAACTCCTTGGACTCCAGGAGTCCTCCTGCCTCAGCCATCCAAAGTGCTGGGATCACAGGCATGAGCTACCATGGCAAGTCTTGGTATTGTTATTAAAGCTCGTTTGTGTCTCATGTATGAAAATAACCCAAGAACCCCAGGCTTCCAGTCACCAAGTATAAAGCTGGCAGGGAGTTTGGTGGAATAGCTAGCAAATGAATAATCTCTAATTTCAGGGATCAGATAACTGCCTTTTTAAAAGCAAGCAAGCGAACAAGAACTACTATACTTTTATAATGGGAGAATTACCTGAGCCGTGATTGTACCAATGCACTCTAGCATGGCGGACAGACTGAGACCCCAACTCAAAAATAAAAGAACAACTGTCCCACCACACTTCAATGTAGTAACTATGTTGACTGACAACGGGTCTATTACTAATGTGGTTATGAATGCTTTTGCCTTATTGAGAAACACGTTGGAAGCAACATGAGGCTTTTCAAAGCCACTGATTAAAGACAGGTAAACTCCTGTAAGGCTTGCCTATACTTAGCCTCAGCCGACACTCTTATTTATAGATAGGACTTCAAAGTGTGTGCTGAATTAACACTTTGAGGATTCAGAGTAAATACAAAACTTCTTTTAGCAGACTCAATTGCAATATTTCCCAGTGTCCCAGCAGCTTTTGGTTTCGTATTTAAGTAACATGGCACATCTCTTAAGATCATTAACAAAGGGCAAGTTCCCTGGGCCACAGAGACAGGCAAATATCCATCTTCGCTACGTCAGCAGGCAGGGTTGACCAGGCAGGCCCCACAGCAACCCTAATTACCGCCTGAGAGGACAGCTCAGTGTCCTCTCAGAGCCACAACCCAACTCATCCCCTTTAGCATTTAGGTGGAATAAACTGAATGACTCCACTTAACAGCGAAATTAACTTAGATAACTGCTCCCATCAGGTTGTCATGCTGCTCCAAGACAGACCTTTCTCAGGAGCTAGACTAAGAGGCAAAAGACTAAGAGGCAAAAGTCACTTCTTGCATGCTTGTGGCATGGAACTCTAGACCCAAGCCAAGTACCCATTCTGGCATTTGAGAAGATCCAAAATCGCTTCTTTTTTTTTAAAGGCTGGAGCACAGTGGCACAATCACAGCTCACCTCAGCCTCGACCTCCTAGGACCAGGCGATCTTCCCGCCTCAGCATTCAGAGTAGCTGGGACTACAAGTGCGTGCCGCCACACCTGGTTAATTTTTGTTTTTGTAGAGATGAGGTTGTGTTACGTTACCCAGGCTGGCCTCCAGCTCCTGAGCTCAAGCAACTCTCCAGCCTCAGCCTCTCAAAGTGCCACAATTATAGGCGTGAGCCACTGCGCCTGGCCCAAAATTGCTTCCTGAAGCCAACTTATATGCTCCTGACGGAACCCTACAGCTTATGTTCTTTTAAAAAATGTTATCACTAATCTCCAAATGATAGTGTTTCCCACATTAAAAATAGTAACATACATTCAGGAAAGGTATATTGATTTACTCTTCTAATCGTCGCATTATAAAGTTCTTCAGCTTACTGTTTTCTGGTTGGTTTTAAAATGTCATATGAGAATCTGTTAGAAATCCAAGTGGTTATTTTCAAAATTACAGGATTTCCTTCAAAAAGTATTAATAAATTTTTCCCATTTATATGAGAGAAAGAGAAATTGAAAAAGTTTTAGCAAAAAAAGAGGAAAATTATTTTAATGGCTAATATTTAGTACTTGTATACATTATTACTTGTATTTAAATTAACATTTTTTTTCCTGATAAAGTATTTTGATTGACGGTGCAATGGTATTGTAAAAAAAAGTAGATGCATCCAAATTTATTATAAGAGAAAAATAAAAATGAAACTGAACCAGAAACACTATTGTTAAGAGTTAGTTTATCCTATGGTGCTCCTAACAAATAAATTTTAAGTCAAGAATAAATTTGATCATGTGAAATATTCAATTTATATCACTTGCAAGTATAAAGTAAATGCTTTTTATTGGTTTATACTGTCATTAGCTAAAGCTCATTTTCTTTTCATTAAGGTATAACGAGCTGATTCATTCTGCATATTATAGCACAAAGTTCAAGTGACTTTAATAACTGGCTTGAGATAAATTACACATCATACGTTCTGGGTCACAAGTTCTGGAGAACAGGAGCAAGGGTTTTACAGCTGGAGAATGTGTTCAGCTCAAGTTATCCGGACAGACACACACCTGTTAGCAGAAAACCCCAAGGGCTACCCTGGACTCTGTGGACTAGCTTTCTGATTTTAATCCTAAGCCAAAGAATCTAAAATGGATTCTTGGTTATTTGTTATTCATTCACTCATGTCCTAGTTACTTGTGAAGCACCTTCTCACGATCAGGTACCTGCCTTTCTGGAATTCTAGTCTAGAGGAAATCTGGAAATTTCCTTTCTGGAAATCTAGTCTAGATAGTTAGAACTGGGCTATCTCAGGGGAGAAGAAAGAAAGAGGAAGATACTATTTAATGAGCACCACATACACACCAGGTTTATGCTTGGTGACTTTTTCATAGGTTATTTCATTTAACATCTATGACAGCAACACAAAGTATAAGCAGTGCTTTCCCTATTTTGAGAGACGAGGAGGGGGTTAATTAATTTGCCTCAAATTACACAGCAAGTAAGAGCCAGGTTTGAACAAGGTTTGCCCAGCTCAATGATCCTGTTTTTTATTGGAGGAGAAATGCAAAAGGGATGAGAAATATAGAGGTAGCCAGAGAATGTGAGTCCTCTGAGGTTAGGCATGTAAGCTTAGTATTATGGTACTCATTAGAGTGTGTTGTTCAATAGGTATTCAATAAATTGTTGTTAAATGAATGAGAAGCGAAGCCATCTTGTCCTACTTCCTGATAAGTGATCAAGGATTGCCTATTTGGGCATTTCTAAGTTCAGTTGGGTCTTTACTGGCACTTAAAAAATATTAGTTACCTAGATCCTTACATGAGAGCTATTAAAAACTATCGTCAGTAGAGAACTTGACAGAACATGTAGACTTTTTCTCCAGGTAACAATTTCCTATGGAAACCCTCTGAAAAGCTAAAGGGGTTGGCAGGGAAACGCCCTCTGTCCATTTTCCGCATACAGCATGGTATTCGGGCCTGGTCATGGGGATTTACAGATATTATCAAACGCTCACTAGACAGACAAGAGGCTTTCGAGGGCTTCTGTAAAGTAATCTCAGATTAAAGACAATACCAATAATGCAAACATAAGCGAATGACTAAAAAATACCAGGGCCCACACGCTTCCTTTCCTTAGAGTAAGTTCTTGGCCAACATCATTATGAAGCAAAACAATGACGATCAAATGAGAGCTGACGAAATGAAGTCTTCCCCCACCAAGATGATCAAGTATTGGAAGCATCCACTGTCCTTCACTCTCTTTCCCTTGGTGTACCATGGTCTTGAGTATTTGCTAAGAGTAACAGCACATACACAAAATTTTAAAACACCGGTCAGGTATATGATAGGTAGTTTTCCCTGGCAGGAGTATAGCACTGACAAAGTCAGAAGCCTTATTTATGGAAGAGTGGATGCTGCTGCTGTCACAGAATGCACCGCAGCGTGGTGTAAAAGCGTCAGCACTGGTGCCCACAGGCCTGTGTCAGAATCACAGCTTGGACACACAACTGGCTGCACAGCACGGAGCAAGCCTCGGAGTCCCAGATGTGTGAGAATAACGCCCATCTCAGATTTGATGTGAGACTTGAACGAGAATACAAGGCACATGGAGGGCTCAGTAAACATTAACTTTTCCCTAACCCTTAATTTGCCAAAACCAAAGACACACATTTGTGTAGTAAGGAAGAGCAGTTTAAGAATACAGTATCATAATTTATGTTCATCATTTAAAGTTGCATCATTGGTTTTTGCTAACATGCATCACAATACAATAATCTGTTCCACTACAGAATTTGTCCGTGCTAATTGAGATCTGCAGACTAAACTAGCAATTTTTTCCCAACTTACCACATTAAAATCTAAATTTTCTTCAATCCATGATTTTGCTTCCTGAAACTCATCTTTCATTTCCATAATAAAAAGCGTATCCAGGGCATCTACTATAGTTGCTCCTTTGATGTTACCTGAAAATATCCGAAAAACATTTACTCAGTAAAATACTTTATATAGATACAAGCACGCAAATTGACCATACCTAGGAAAGAGAGTAATAATGTGTTTATTAATAAGCAGTAATACCAAACAGCCTAAAATTCGTTCAATGAAAGTATAAAACTGCACTAAAACCAAACTAAAAATTGTCACAGGCGATACACGAATCTGTAAAGTTTTTTCTTAGTTGTAGAAAATAAAACCCTTAGAAATGTCATTTGCGATTGCCTTCTCTCGTAAGGAAAGATCAGCTCCCACCCAAGGCACAACATACGTACTGAGGTTAACGTAATTCCATTGAAGTGCACGTGTGTAAAACTCTAAACATAATTAGATCTAAAATTGTTCTGCTGTAGTTCTAAGGAGCTACTGCTCTAAAATGAAGCTCCACCCCCTGACTGAAGCCTCACACACCCTCTCCACCTGCCTTCCTGGTCAGTCCTGACTCTGGTTTACTCCTCTGAACTCCAGTAGCGTGGAGAGTGCGTGGTGCCTGGCACTCATCCCTCTGTCTTGTACTGGAATGGCTTGGATGCCTCACTTTTCATCGGTAAACTTTCTTAGGACGCAAAAGTCATGTCTTGCTCATTTCCAGACTTCTCACAGCGCCCTGCGCAATTGTGACAGTGATGCCCATGGATGGCTGCTCAAAGACTGGATGGACACCGTACTTTCTTTGCACAATTAGGGTTCTAGACAATTCAAGACCAAATCTATAAATATTGATGGAAATTGTTCCATTGGCACACACCTTCCAAATTGAGAAACTGTCACCAGAAAACTACAAAACAGAATATTAAAATAGTTGATTTTCAAGGATATATAAAGTAACTGCAAATCTTTGTTTTTCTTCTTTTGTTAGACATAAGACTAACTCTTAACTAATAAAAAGGATAGGAAAACCTGAGGGCATATTTTATCGCAACCCAGTCTTCTTTAAAATATAACCTTTTTTGTAGATAAAACTATGGGTTCAGGGAAACAAGGGCGGGCATGTTTTAAGTGGACATTTTGAATGATATCAGCTTCATGTATTCGCTGGCATCTAATTTCTAAGTTATTCAGTAGGGAAGTCATTAAGTAGCACGTCATTAAGAAGCAAACATTGTCAGTTTTTATATTTTAGCGTTACAATGAGTACAACTGGTAAAACACAGAATCTCACTCTTTGAGATGCAGTTCTACTTGAAATCTTCTTTACCTCTGAAATCTTGAATAATAGTTCTGATTTCCCATTTAAAACAGGGTTGGGAGGCTGGCCATGGTGGCACATGCCTGTCATCGCAGCACTTTGGGAGGCTGAGGTCAGAGGGTTGCCTGAGCCCAGGAGTTCGAGACCAGCCTGGGTAGCATGGCGAGACTCCATCTCTACAAAATAAAAGAATCAGTTGGGCGTGGTGGCCTGTGCCTGTACTGTCAGTTACTCAGGAGGCTGAGATACTAGGATCACTTGAGCCAAGGAGGCTGAGGCTGCCGTGAGCCGTGACTGTGATTACAGCACCGCAGCCTGGGCCACAGAGTGAGATCCTGCCTCAACTAAAACAAAATAAGAATCACAAAATAAAACAGAATTGGAAGATTGTGAATATTTGAGTTTTTTCCTTTTTTTTTTGAGTTGGAGTCTCACTCTGTCGCCCAGAGTGGAGTGCAGTGTCTGCTCCCGGCCACCGCAGCCTTGACCTGCCGGGCTCTGGCGATCCTTCCGCCTCAGCCTTCCGAGTAGCCGGAATTACAGGCGAGCACTACCACGCCCGGCTAATTTTTTGATTTATTGTAGAGATGAGGTCTCGCTGCCCAGGCGGGTCTCTAACCCACAGGCTCAGGCAATTCACTCACCTCAGCCTCCCAAAGGCGCGGGATTACAGGCTGAGCCACCGAGCCCGGCTGAGTTTTTTCCTTTTTAATTTCAGTAAAATTGTTTAAGTGAACGAAGAGCCAGTCTTATCACCCTGGGAAAGAGACCTAAGGCTCAACATCACTGATGAGAAATGGCCATGAGAAGGAAGCACCCTGAAGAGCTCCCTGATGGCTAATGAGTGGGCAACACAGATTCTTTTTTTTTTTTTTTTTTTTTTTTGAGCTGATGTCTCATCCGTTGCCCAGGCTGGAGTGTAGTGGCATCGTTCATGGCCACCCCTGTGTCGACCCGCTGGGCTCCGGCGATCTTTCTGCCTCAGCCTTCCAGGTAGCCAGAATTAGAGGTGTGCGCTACCACACCCGGCTAATTTTTGATTTGTTGTAGAGATGAGGTCTCGCCAAATTGCCTGGGCTGGTCTTGCACCAAAGGGGTCAGGCAATCCACTCGCCTTGACCTCCCAAAGTGCTGGGATGACAGGCTGAGCCACCGAGCCTGGCCAACTTAGATTCTTGATGAGTAATGTTTCCTCTGAAAAAACAACTTGTTCTTAAAGCCAGAACGCAGAATCCTCTATCTCAAATTAAGTACCCTTTACTAAGAATTCAGGTGGCAAGGAACTTAGGAAAATTTAAGTCCTGTCTTCTGCCTGGTTTGTTGAGAAAATACACAGGACTACTTGTATCGTACTCAGATAAGAAACTGGGCTGAGGAAGTGGGTTAAAAAAGTCACTTAAAAAGTTTTCCTTATTTGTAAAAATGAAAACTTTTATTTCTTTGTAACAAGTCCCACTATGTTAGTATTTCTATGATAAGAAAATCATTATGTATCCTATTTTAATTTGAAGATGAAGTGAGACTAAATATCATTTGAATTATTAATATTTCATTTCCTTATACTAATACCAGAAACTCTTTTTTTAAGGCAAGATTTTATCTGAATTATGAAAATGTTTTTACTGAAAAAGTCAATGAAAATGATTTTAAAATGGAAGGCAAAAGAGACAAGGTTCAAAATAAATTTAAATACCATTAATATACTAACAGAAGACCAAATACATCTTTGTTAATGATTATGGCAAGTTAACACATAACTGATTTCTTAATGGTGCAAACAACTTCATAAAGACAAAACCAAAATGGAGTTAGAGTTTTTTAAAACTGTCATAATAAACAATGAAAAAACAGAGGACTCTGACTCCGCACAAAGTCCTATTGTGTTTCTCTTGGATTCATATCTCTCCTCATGCATGTTTACTGGTCACTGGATCCTAAAACACCCCCTGAGAAATGCCTGGAATCCCCTTTTCTGCCACTTTTCCAGGTGTAGGCCCTTTTCATCTCTAGTGTTCCTGTGATGGATCAACCAGGTTCCTTTCTTCTCTGCTTCCCAGCTCTCCCTACCTGTTCCTGAACCCCCTGCAAGACCTTTCTCCCTACCTGAGGTCCTACTGGTTCCTCAGAACTTCATGGGACTATCTACTGGACCACTGGTGCTTTGACATTCGCTATTTACATGCATGTGTTTTTGCCGAGACTATGACCTCGGCAAAAACTTGTCTTGTTTTCACTGACACCAGTGCTAGAAGGAAAGCCAGACACGCGAGGTCCTGAACAGACGGAGAAGCACAGTGTCATCACTGGGAACAGGGGCTCTGACGTCAGCCACCCAGAGTTCTGGGCTAAGCTCTGTCAGTCAGCCATGGAAAAGATCTTCTCTGAGCCTCATCTTTTCTTACCTATAAAATGTGTATGATAATGAGATGATGCATGAACAGCACTTGGCACACAGTAAGTGTTCCATAAATGTCAGCTGAAACTGTTTGTTGTATGAATTGGCATTAACACTGAAAATTAATATTTTCAGTTAAAGTATGGAAAATCAAGTTTTCATTGTTGAGTTTATAAAGTACAGAATAAGATTTCAATCTCTCCTTCCTGTTCCTTACGGCTGAAATTTGGGGGATTAGAAAGAAATGAAGGACATTAGGAAGGACACTGGGAAGCTCTGGGACCCAAAGGATCCATCCAATCCTCATTACTCAGCTTTCTCATTTCCACAACGGGAAGGTTAATACCAACAGCACCATTGTGAGGACCCAACGCAATAAAACACATAAAAGTGGACAGATGGAAGTTCAGATAATCGACCTAATCCATCCTCATCTTTTCTTCCACGGAACAAGCAGGAGAAACCTGCAGCCAAAGTTGAGATACAGTGGAGATCCCCACGGCCGGCTGCCTTGGCCAGCTTGTTTACAATGACACAGCATTTATTGAGCAGGAAGTCGTCAATGCAGGCTTCTAGTTGCTTCCTGGCTGGGTATCACCTGGGAGCCAAAAATCCTGATGCTGCACCCCACCCCTATTCAACGAGAACCTTCACAAGAGGGTCCCGGGCATCAGTACCTGTAGAAGTTCCACAGTCTTTCTAATGTGCAGCCACCGCTCTGTACAGAGGACACGCCAGGCACGGTCCTCACAGAGAACTCCACTGGTATGCAAGTTGCCTAGCAGTGTGGCCTTGGGGGGACACCATGTTACCCAAACTTCTCTGCCACCCACAAGTCAGGCCACTAGAGATAAGCCATTGTCACTAGGCAACGTAAGCACAAGCTACTCACCAAACAGACTGCTGGAATGGCCTTCTTTTGATATAGGCTTCAGCTCATTTAATCCCCAGGCATAACTTTTATAATTATTCCACGCATGCTTCATCATCTGAGAAAGATACGAAAAAGATGAAAATGGGATTATGATTTGAATTGAGATGCTTTTGCTACAAAGTAGATAATATATTGAAGAGCCAAAAGTTAAAGCATTAAAATTCACTATTTAGTTAAAAAGATAATGATTAATTAAAAGGCTGTTGATGGTTATTAAATAAACTAGAACACACCCACACGCACACATTATGTTTACAAGTGAAAATTTTTCTTTTTTGAGTCCACGGAATTAAGTCTAATGTAAATCTTATTTTCAAAAGTCAGCTCCCAACAACAGGCATTTAGTTTACCGTAAAAGGGTGAACCATTCCCACATTTATCTAGCTCATCTCATAACAGATTATATCTGCAAAGACTCTATACTTAAAATTTATATGTTTGTACAAAGTTCTTCCTACTTGGCTGGCCTCATAGTATACAAATATTCAAGATTGTCACTTTAAACACGTTGATGTTTCTTTGCGAAGACTATATGAAGAAGTACTTTTCAGTATCTATAGGAAACAAAAAATGAAATTACAATTATGCCTAGATTTTGGGAAGATTCTGTTTATTTTAATATAATCAATCTTTAATTAGATAACTGTGTATATGAATGCAACGAAGATTAATCCTGAATATTCCTAACCAAAGTCCATACACCAGCCAAGATTTTAAAAGCCACACCTATCGGCCGTAAATAAGTTGCATAAATATTCTTCTATGTCTCAAAGAATGTTGATACTCTTCAAATATCTAGAACTTACTCATGCCATTATCCCCAATCTATTAGCAACAGTAATCAGAATATGGACATAATCTGAAAATGTTCTACTCTGGCTCCATATTTTTTTTTAAAGCAGGATTTATTGAGAGGACAGAAAAGCTCCCTCAGTGGGAGGGAGTCTGAGGGGGTTGCTCTCCATTTTTAAAAATATCTTTAAAAGCATCACCTGAAGCTATAGATACTATCCAAGAGCTATTCATCACTAAAAATTTTCATTGAGATCGATGCAATTGTATTTGCAACAAAGCTTTTATTCGTCCCTGAATACAACAATGAGCATCTTTCCTTAGCGAGTTTATCTATTCCTTTCCTGTGCCACCGTCCCTCCTGCTAGTAGCTCCCAAGAATCTGTGCTATCTGGTGAGTACTCGGCCAGAGGCTCTCTGTCTTCAATACTGTCTTCCCATCTTGCTACAGCCCTACGAAATAGGGTTTACGCCGGGCTCGGTGGCTCAGCCTATATTCCTGCGCTTTGGGAGGTTGAGGTGAGTGGACTGCCTGAGCCCGTGGGTTCGAGACCCACCTGGGCAACTTGGCGAGACCTCATCTCTATAATAAATCAAAAAATGAGCCGGGCGTGGTAGCGCACGCCTGTAGTTCCAGCTACTGGGAAGACTGAGGCGGAAGGATCGCTGGAGCCCAGCAGGTCGAGGCTGCGGCAGCCGGGAATGGCCACTGTACTCCAGTCTGGGCGACAGAGCAAGACTCTGACTCAAAAAAAAAAAAAGAAACAGGGTTTATGACCACTGTGTGGTAGATGAAGAAATGGAAGCCTGGGAGTTAAGCAGCAGAGCCAACTTGACTCCGAGCCACGCACGAAATTTCTGCCCAAGCAAGGAGCTGGGGCTCATCCCCACGCTGGCCTGACCGCAATGCCCGTGGCTCCCGGAGGGACAAGCCACAGGGTCTTCCTGGAATCAGTCAGACTGATGATCTTTCCACAATCAGAAGAGTGTGTGAGGCAGCGTTTTTGAGATGTTCTTCTTATAAGCTAATTTTATTGCCCGTCAAGACTGGACTAGAGGAAACAAAGTGTGGAGCGTATCCACAATGGAATATTAAGCAGCCAAAAAGAAGGACACATGCAGGGACTTCGCAACTTGGATGGATTTAGAGTCTGCCATATTCAGTGATCCATCGTGGAAACAAAGAACGGAGCACCACATGTTCTCACTCAAAAATGGACCCTGAACATTCACCATCACACTATAAGGAAGGGACGGGCAGTAGCAGGATACCTTGAGGGTGGGGGTGGGGAGAACACGACATCCAGAAGGGTCCCTGATCTCAAACCAGGCAAAGTGGGGACCAAAGGGAGGCCTAGACTTTACCTGTATGATGACCACTTGTCGACCTAATCGCGAATGGTACCAGACATCTTAAAAAAAAAAAGAGGAAGCGACAGCATTGGCCTAGAGAGAGCATAGAGAATCACTGGCCTGACTTCAGCTCCAGCGGCAGAAAGCCACTTTTCCTCCAAGCACGGACACTGGCCTTTCGGAGACTTAACGTCTTGGTCACCTAAGTGGAGCAGCACACAGCTGTCCTCCCATCTGCTGCAGCTGCTCGTCGGCTGGCTATGCTAGGAGGCTTGAACCTAGTCCACACAGTAGAGAGAAACCGCGGGCTAAAAACCAACGCACAAATGTTCCTATCTGTAAGCTCAATAACGCATCTTTTAAACTATGTTGAATCACCTTTAAGTGGACACTATAAAGGGTGGGATTAAAAACCTCTGCTCCAAAGGTGAAAAAAATAAACAAATTCATTAATTAAGTTGAATGTATAACAGATCTGAGGATCAGTTAACTTGATTTATAATCCCTACGATGCTACTGATCAGTCATATACTTACGGATGAGTCAGTTTTCGTGAGACTCTCTTTCCTTACGTGAAAATCTGGGATCATAATCCTTCAGAGGCTGCATCTGAGGAATACATGAGCATGGTCTGTGTTTCCAAACCCAGCATACTGTTTGACAGATGGCAGGGGATCACGTTTGCTAAATTTTAAACCCATTAAATTCACATCACAAAAAATGGAATCCTATGAGCCTCTGAAAGACCAGGTGTAAGAAATCCAAAAAAACACCTCGAGATTATAAATCTGTGTTTTACTTGGTTTTTCCATGGAATGTACATTTAGTGAACTCTTCATTCCTGCAAATTTCCAGATACTTTACCAATGTAAAAGCTTTTGGAATAAACAGGACATCAGAACAGAAAGTAAGTCTGATGATTTGTTTCAGCTTTGTAACAAATGCACATGAGGCACCACGAGTACCCAGCCTCCTCAAGTGGCCTTTCGAACATATATTAACTTTTCCTATTTTTGTTTTTTATTTTCCTCAAGGGAAAAACTGACACTAATTGCAAAGTTTCCTACATCTCAAAAGTTGCTGTGACATGTTTCTCAAAATGGGTTCCTCAACCCATGGGACTTCTGAGTTAAAGTTAGAAAAGAAGAAGAAAATGATGTGGCCAAAATGCCCTGAACGAAGCCTCGGAAGTGGTTTCTTCTGTAATCTGTAAATTGAAGTGGAACAGCCACACTGTCAACTGATTCCACTGGCTGGTCACATCTGGAAATGACTTACCACATAAAAGTTAACTGTAAGATATTGTGTGTTTGTGTGTGTGTGTGTGTGTGTCTATGCCTGCATAGGAACACTGTGGACTGAATTCATAAGACCACGTACAAAATCAACTTGTTAACTCAGATTTGTGACTTATACAAATGTCTGAAAACATCAAAACGCTACTAGCTTTTAATTTTACAGTATTAAGCCACCCACCAGCTAAGGAACCACAAAGATGGAGACATTTAGTCTCTTGACTCAGTGTTCTCAAGAACTGGAAGGACTGACCTCCCGGGTAGAAGGACTCAGATGGGACTAAACTTCAAGTGCAGTAATGAATCCCTCCCAAACAAAGACAAACTGAAAGCAAACCAAAGATTTTTTTCTAGATATTTATATTTGCATCGGTGAAAGGTATGGCGAACACACTGTGTGAAAGGAAACAAACAAGAAAGAATGACACAAAACTTTGTGATAGCAATCTATTAATTTGACCCAGAAAAGATGGGATTAAGGCATAAGGTATCAAAGAAATAGCATTACTTGTCCTTGACTCTACACCAATAGAGAATATTCTCTGATTTGTACTTCTTCACTCACGGAGCCAGGGCTGATTGACTATGAAATGTCACCTAGCTACACTGTGAGTGATAAGAGTCTGAGAACTAGAAGGGGACACGGATTCTGTCCTGGACATCATCTACTAGTCAACATACGTGGCGTAAAATTCGGCCTTCTTACATATTCAGTAAATGTTGACGAGTATAGGAGAGCTGTAAGAAAACTCACACACAACGCTATCGTGGCACTTCACAAGCTGCTAAAAATCTAATGTCCTGATCTAATCAAGGACATTGAAAAGAGATATGTTTGAATGTCCCCAGGTACATATGTACAGATTTCACAACTTGCATTTTTAATGCTAGGAACTACCCTTAGCAAATGTTTTTAATCATATGATCTTACACTTTTCATATTAGACACATGAAAAATCTTCTTTAGAAATCTCACCAATTTTGCCAGACAGATCTTAGGAAGACTTTGGGCTTTCACTGGCCGCTTTAAGAAGCCTGCAAGTTCAAGGGATCCTACAGCCCCCTCTGTGGCATCCTGCACCAAAGCTCCAGTTTGTAGAACATCATCCTGGCTCTGGCCGACGAACCAGGGCTGGGGCCTGCCTGACCGGAAGGCAGACAACTGAGGCTGGCCCTGAACCTCCAGAGAGAGGTGCCTTGGGGTGCAGCTCTCACTGACGGCCGGGCCGGACAACCCAGACATCTACCCTGCCTTGGCAAGTGTAACCGGGAGACATCCGGGGAGAATCAGGAGGCCAGAGAGGGATGCAGAAACAGAGAAGCACAAATTCACAGAGAAGAGAAAGCCATCCAAAGGAGTCATGATGCAGCTGAAGCCACGAGGGAAACAGAAGGCAAGCAGAAAAACGTCGAAGGAGGCCGAGAGAGACAGAGACGGGGAACTCGGCCATGAGCGCGGCGCACCAGGGGAACTGGGTTGGGTCTGCAGAAAAGAGTCAGAGGATGCTGGGAAAGGAAGAGATTGGGAGAGTCCAAGGAGGCTGGGAGTGGCAGACACCAGAGACAGCGAATGTGGCCATGTCCATGGCGCACCGGTGGAGCTGTGTGGCGTCTGCAAGGTCAGAGGAACTGGGAGAGGCAGAGACGGGGAGCTCGGCCGCGTGCATGGCACACCAAGGGAGCTGTGGCCTCTTCCTCGGACTCCCCACCGCGCCCTCGGACAGAGCCCGGTGCTGCCGGGCCCACACAACCAGCAGCCCCGAGCCCTCCGGCCGCTCCACGCCGAGGGAGCCCTCTCGGGTCCCAGGATCCCTGGCCCGCCACCGAAGTGCTACGCGCCAAGTCAGGCTGGGCGCTGGCCTGAAGCTCCCAGCCCCTCTCCTCGGCCGCCCCCCGCGCCACGTCAGTGTCAGCTGGGCCCTCCACCCGGCTCTCCTCCTGGCCCCGGTGCCACCTGGGCGGACAGGACGTTGTGCCCCACCCGGCCTGGCCTGTCGCTAGACTTACGGGAAACCCTGAACCTCCCCCTCATGCCAGGCTGTTGACTGCTCTGACACCACCTCTCTTCAGCTGGGTACTTTCTGGGGTTTTCCACCACCACGGGGGCCCATGATGATGGGTTTTCTCTCCTTTCTCCATGACTCTACTTTTTCTTGTGGCTGCATCTGCCATTTGTTTGTGATCAGAGAGGCAAGGCTGCCTCTTCACCTGGACGGATATGTATGTGTGTAGAGTGAGATGACCTGACTTCTCCCACAGCCAATTTCAATATGCTATTTTTGAGACAGCGAGAGATATACAAAGAAGGAATAATTATTTAATGCTATTGCATGAGCTCTAAAGGACCCCTGAACATTAATGTTCCTCAGAGAAATGAAAGAGTGATTAGCAACAGCAATTTATTTAGAAAGAGTCAGAATGCCTGATAAAGCCAGTTTTAAAGAAATGAGAATTCTAGTAATCACCACTTGTAGAGGACAGATTGTCCTGTTTCTAAGAAGTATCTTTTTCCCAAGAAAAAGCCAATACTTCCAGTTCTAGCTCAGAAAAGTATATCCTATGCATTCAATGGTTCTTGTTCTTTATGGCCAGATTCTGATATTATTTTATAAAAACTCTTGTGCTGCTCCCAAATGGAAGGCAGTCAGGGCAAAAAACAAAACAAAAAAGAAACGCTTCTCTAAAATATTCAAGGAATAGTAGCTCAGCATCCCAAAAGTCAGAGGTTAGAAAAGGGCTTGCTTGCATGTGAATGTCTGGGATACTCCATTTGGGAAAGAAGCACTGTTGCTGAGAACGTTTTCTTCACGTAGAATAGTTTGGCATCAGCCGAGGGTCTATCGCTTGCAGTTATTTCCTCATCTAAAATAGCTGACTTGTGGTTGATGACTATGGTCTCTGGATGCAGAAGCTGTCACTTTGAGCTCAGAAGCTGCCACTTGGTTCAGAAACTGTTACCTTTGTGTTCAAAGATTCAACCTCAAGTTTGTGGTCTGTTTATCTGGCTGATTTTTTATTAACACTAAAACTGTGTTCATTAGATTGGCTCAGCTACATCCTCTGTGGTTAACGAGAGGATAGCAAGCGGCCTCTTGCAGGCCCCTGAAGACATCTGATCTTCCCTCCCTGGTTCCCAGACCAAGACCGAGCAGAGCTCCCTCAACATGGGAAGAATCGGCAATAGATCTTTTCTAGGGATCAAGAGTAAACGATATCCTTTGCTGGGATATCATGATGCTCCCTTTTCTAAAAAATTATGCCACTGAAAACAAATACTATTCTGATGCAGTGTCTCATGTCAAAAGGCTTTTTTTTTTTAGTTTTAATATTTGTAATGAAAAGGCAAGTCCAAACATTATTTTAAGTCACACATACCATTCCACAACTTTAATTTTTCACATTTATCTTTTTGCAGTAGCGACATCATGACTTTTAAAAATTGAAACGTACTATCTTTAAAAAGATTTGTTTATACATTTGTCAACTTTATAAAGACTAAGCCTTTTGCTCTTTTATCTGCCTTTTTAAACTTTACAAATATGATGAATTTGTTAATGGTATTAATAACCATTATCACTAACTGTTAATAGTAAAGATCAAATGTGACACGTAATTAGGATCAATGAAAATGAATTAGTTTGAATTTCATAAAAATGAACAAAAGTCAGAAGTAGTTACCTTTTTAAAATTATATTGTTTTCTTCTTCTTTTTTTTAAACAAACAAACAAACAAACAAACAAGCCCTAGAGAGTTAAGGCCTGCTCTTCAGTTTTCAAGAAGAAAGTTGCAGGGCACAAATGTTTTCTTTTCCTTTTGTGCGTGTTTTCTTAAATGGACCTTTCTTTTTAGAGAAGTTTTAGGTTCACAGCAAAACTGAACAGGAAGTACTAAAAACTCTCATATACACCCCAAACCCACAAACACATAACCTCTCGACAATCCACATGATGCACCACAGTGTTACATTAGCCACTACTATGAGCCCACACAGGAACGTCATTTTCACCCAAAGTCCATGATTGACTTTCGGGGTCACCCTCGGCGTTACACGGGCTATTGGTTTTGAGAAATGTGTAACCACATGTACCCGCCATGACAGCACCACACAGAGTATCTCCACCATCCCAAATCCTCTGAGTGGCGCCTTCTCAGTCCTCACTTTCTCAGTCCCTGGGAACTGCTGGTCTTTTTTATCGCCCCATCATCTTCCCTTGTCCAGGATATCATGTAGTCAGAGTCATAAAATATGCAGGCTTTTCATGTTGGTTTCTTTCACTTAATCATATGCATTTAAGGTTCCTCCGTGTCCTGGACTTGATGGCTCATTTCTTTTTAATGCTGACTAATATATTCCATTGTCTGGAGAGATCACAGTTTACTGATCCATTTACCTGCTAAGAAACACCTTGGCTGCTTCCAATTCTGGCAATGACAAAAAAGCTGTTATCAAGAAGCGAGTTGCAGGGCACAAGTGTTTTCTTTTCAAATTAAAGTCAGACATCATTATTCTCATAGCTAGAAGATTATGAATTGTAATTTTGTAATTACTGTTATTTAAGGAAGAATTCATAAAAAAATAGATTGGCCATAAGGTGTCATATAAGTAAATCTGCTTTAAAAAAACCCAAACTTCTGAAATAATGACCCTTAAAACTGTCTGTTGTTAATAGAGCAAGTAGAATGTCACTGTCATCCACAATCCATGACCTTCTAAGATTCTGAAAATAATCCTTTTGTATACTGCAGAGAGTAGTTTTAAAAATTATAATGAAAATGTTTAATGAGGTAATTTTAATATTACTTATGAGATATAGTATCTGTGTACTACTGCTACCAGAAATGCTGATTCCTAAATATAATCTGGGAGTAGCAACTAGTAGTCCTACAGGACTTAAAATTCGTCACTGGTGTGTCCCAGAAAGGTATCCTCTTATTATCCTTTTAGTAGAAGTAATCAGCATCTACTGAACACGTATATGTCCTGACATACGCAAAACATCTACATATCCTCTCAATGCTGTCCAACAGCCCCGCAGGGAAGCCTGTCTCCTCATGAGCACCCCATTGCACAGATGAAGAAATCAAGAGGTCAGATCTTGGCTCTGAATTCAGGCTGACTCAGGCCAAATTCTTACCTGAAGACTAACATTTTTTTTGTACATTGTCCTGAGCCAAAGGTGTGGTCCATGCAATCTGGGTGATGCTTGCCTTCCAAATAAGCTTCCAAATAAAGTATTACTCATGTGTGGCTGGCACTGTATACATCTTTGTATATTTCTATCTATCATCTAATAATTTTGGAAAAACTGACTTGTTCTAAGAATTAGACTTTCAGAAACATGACATGCCAAACCAGCTTCCAATCTTCCTTCTTTTGAAAACCTTACAGACACGGAGAAACATTAACTTTATTGGTAGACTAGGGATTTAAAAATGAGCATATCTTTTGCTTTCAGTGCTCTGTAGGGAAACGTTACCTTATGTATGTTGAATAAGAACTTTGCTTTCCATATATTATAACAGCTGAAAGTTCCTTCCTTTGAAAGTTAATCTGCATTTGGGCATCCTACACGTCATAATCATTATTCTGTTTCGTTAATGATGTGACTTTATCACCAGTGGAATTTACCCTAATAATTTATTTGTGTAGCTACTTAAAAAGACACACTGCTCAATATGCTAGTTTAAATGTCTCTAAATTTTGTACTTTAAAAACTGTCCCTAAATTGGCAACATCAGATTTCTTGTTAAACACATAGAGAAAAATATTACAGAGATATTATTTTTCAAAGCTCTCTCTATTATAGTTTCATTTAGATTTCTACATTACTTAGACTTTTACTAAAAATGGCAAGCAATGATTCTGGACTATATGTGACACTGTGCCACCTTTATGGCAGGCATTAACATCTAATAGGCCTGAATCACCACCTCCTTATTCCTATAAACTGTATTTTCTATGGACTGAAGATTATCTGAGATGTTTTTAAGTGATGGTAAGTATTTCTTGGGCCTGAAAATGTATTACTCTAACCATTCTGGTAGAGCTTTAAAATCTGATAAAGCCTGATATTTTTCTTCAAATGGTTAAAAAAAAATAAAGATCACCATCATTCATTCTGCTGTTGCTGATGGCAAGTGCCCAGCATTAAATATATGCCAGATTCAGTGACCTGTTAAAACAGCCTGCATTACTTAGTATTAGCTTTGAGTGCAATGACTTCCAATTCTGTTCAGTTATT